TATGAATCCAGCCTTTTATCATGTTTATAGATGTTAAATTCAAGCCAGTTTTAAATTGTTACCACTTTGTACTGCAAACTGGCATCAATTTTGCCTGCAGTAACGGCTCATGTTTTCTTTTTCTTTTTTAAATTTGGGGGGGGGGGGGTAAGTACCCTCCCCAGAATAATTTTGCCAATATACATCTTGGATTGTCCTATATCGCTGGGGTACCTATATCGGTGGCATCTCCTTTTGATGTGATGATTTTTTAATTGGAGATCTGACTTTATCCATATATGAATGTTAAGTAACAGTCAGTAGTTTAAAGTATGTAATGTAAAATTAAAAATATTCCTAGGAATGACGGTGTTTGGTTTACTCATAAACACACTAAATTTATGAAACGTAAACAATTTGCATGTTGATTGAAATGACCAATTATTTTTGAATTTGTTGAGAGTATGCAATCAAATACCTGTATGCATTCTTATGTTTTCTCAACTGATGACAAAACAAGTTTCTAAGACACTCAGAAAACTACGTACGTTTATATTGAAAATATATGATTTTAGTTAGTCGGTCCTCCATGATGATTTTTCCCCTCGCTTATTTAATACGTGTTTTTCTTTTTTCTCTTCCTTTTCATATTATGATTATGTATTTATATCATATACTTGTGTCCCTGACCTGAATTTATATGTTGTAAATATTCTTCATTGTCCTCGCGTACCTGAAATGGTTTGAGTGAATAAAATGATCTTGAACTTGAACGGGGCCAGATGCCATCAAATGCAAATTTTTATTAAAAAAAAAAATATCTCTTATTATTTGATTTAATTTCCTACATTCATATTGTACTTGTTAGGAAAAATTTTGTAACTGTTAATTACCACGAAATACATGTAGATTCCTCGAGGACAGAACCCTTTAGAAAACATAGCTACTACATGTATATGCTTGTTCCCCAAATAAAAAAAAAACATCTGATGACCTTTTATTTTTTTTTTTACTTTCTATGGAATTCTTGGTATTTGATAATGTAGGTTGTCCCCACTCCCGCACACTGAAATGGCTTCCTATGGGCCTGCTATTTGTTTATTCAAGCTAGGTTCTATATTACGGCGCCGCTGGAGGGCCAGGTAAAAAAATATTTTTATTTGTTCGGACAAATTGGAAATTCGTTCGGACAAATTAGTTATTTGTTCGGACGAATTAGATATTCGTTCGGACAAATTAGAAATTCGTTCAGACGAATTAGTTATTTGTTCGGACGAATTAGATATTTGTTCGGACAAATTAGAAATTCGTTCGGACGAATTAGTTATTTGTTCGGACGAATTAGATATTCGTTCGGACGAATTAGAAATTCGTTCGGACGAATTAGTTATTTGTTCGGACAAATTAGATATTCGTTCGGACGAATTAGAAATTTGTTCGGACAAATAAGTTATTTGTTCGGACAAATTAGAAATTCGTTCGGACGAATTAGTTATTTGTTCGGACGAATTAGATATTCGTTCGGACAAATTAGAAATTCGTTCGGACGAATTAGATATTCGTTCGGACAAATTAGAAATTCGTTCGGACGAATTAGTTATTTGTTCGGACGAATTAGATATTCGTTCGGACAAATTAGAAATTCGTTTGGACGAATTAGTTTTTTGTTCGGACGAATAAGAAATTCGTTCGGGCAAATTAGTTATTTGTTCGGACGGATTAGATATTTGTTCGGACAAATTAGATGTTTGCACATATTATCTTGTAAAGAGAGATATACAATTTGTCTATTCAGGAGCATTCATCCCTTTTTAATAATGCTCTTTGGACCATGACATACACACGTAGCAGCTAGACATGTGCTATTAAAGTCGGGTGTGTTGATTGTAAATATTTGGAAATAATGGTTCTATATCGGTATAAATTATAGGCCTAAAGTCTGCCATTCTGAAAGTATATTATTTGAGAGCCCACTACCGGTATTAAATTCAGAGGGTCAGTTACTTCTTATCAAACTCTTCACTCCCATCCCTAATCTGGTTCTACCAGACCAACTTTTGCTGGTGGTGTTAAATTGGTAACACTGGGGTGCCAGTGGTCAGTTACCGCTTCTTTGAAAAGATGAGATCCACTCCTTAAGGGTTTTATTCCTACTGCAGACAATTGGTACGGGAAAAAATTGGCATTGGAAAAGTAAGCCCCCCCACGAAATAGGACTGTCACCTTTGGGCAACTTTTCCTGAGTTCCCCCCCCCCTTTTTTTTTGCTCGTCAATTTTTCAGGTAGCTATTTTTTTCTCACCCCCCCCCCCCCACACACACTTTCAAAAACGATGCTTCGTGGCTGTATTAATTTATATTAAATAAACTTCGGACTCAAAATATCGAGCCTCTTATTCGAGGTCACAGTCGATGGGTCTAATTTTTTTAAAGGTGGGGCTTACTAGCTAGGACATTTGTATAGTTTTGCTTCTATACCGCTGTTCCCACATTTAAGTATTTTGTGATAAAGGAACAAAAAGAGGGAATCTCATAAGTCCATCTCCAATGGATTCATTCTAAGATCGTTAAAAACTATTTTTAAGTATCTAGATCTATATAAATATTATTTTATATTTAAATATCAGAAAAGCGCATGAATTAAAACATGCAGGTATAATATTGACCAAATTAAACACACGCCCTTTTCCGGGAAAAGGATAAAAAATAGATGAATGCATGTACGTTCCTAGAAAGTGCAGTAAAATTTAAAAACACATCATGATTTAATGCAAGTTAAGCTTCTCAATGATTAAGACAATCGATCGTTTTTAAATAGAGGGACTGAGGAGGGGGTGTTACTTGAAAATATTTTGACTTTCATTCATTCATGATTTATTTTCCCCATAAAAGAGGTTGGTTTCATAATTCCATTTCTATGTGAGTCATTGGCCTATCAAACCTTCGAATTGGTACTCAAATGTAAAAAAGTATAAACAAAATTAAGAAATGCTGAAAGCGAAATCAAATAGTTTTTTCAACTACATGAACCTCTCCAATAAGGGGAGGGGGCTATAAGTATGCTCTAAAAATCATTGGACTAGGGAATATACCAGATTGACCGGTTCACATTTTAATTCACCGGCTCGCGAGTCATAGGAACAACCTGGGATCAATACGAACAGGTTCATTTTTGTGAAGTTTTCTTAATTCACAAAACAGGAATATTTAATTAAAAACTCAATGAGGACCTTTATTCATTTTATACACTGCATATGTACCAGATTGATTGATTGAATGTTTTACGCCGAATCGGCAATATTTCAGCCACATGTCGGCGACATATGTATCAGAAATGTATTTCAAAAATCATTCACATGTCATGATTAATAAATGCAGGGTAGTGAATATGTACATAAAAATTAAAAGAAAGAGATCAACATTAAAACGACTTATCTTCAAAATATTTAATGATAATGTTGTTCATTAAAGTTATTTTACAAAGAATCAAAATAAAATGAAACGCCTTGGTGCAAATCGCACATTAATCGCGGTGTCGTGACAGTTGTTCACAATTTCTCTAATTTTTCCGAACAAATAATTAATTCGTCCGAACGAATTTCTAAATTCGTCCGAACAAACAACTTATTTGTCCGAACAAATTTCTAATTTGTCCGAACGAATATCTAATTCGTCCGAACAAATAACTAATTCGTCCGAACGAATTTCTAATTCGTCCGTACAAATAACTAATTTGTCCGAACGAATTTCTAATTTGTCCGAACAAATATCTAATTTGTCCGAACAAATAACTTATTTGTCCTAACAAATTTCTAATTCGTCCGAATGAATTTCTAATTTGTCCGAACGAATATCTAATTCGTCCGAACAAATAACTAATTCGTCCGAACGAATTTCTAATTCGTCCGTACAAAGAACTTATTTGTCCGAACAAATAACTTATTTGTCCGAACAAATTTCTAATTCGTTCGAACGAATTTCTAATTCGTTCGAACGAATTTCTTATTTGTCCGAACGAATTTCTAATTTGTCCGAACAAATATAAATATTTTTTTACCTGGCCCTCCAGCGGCGCCGTACTATCTTACATTAAAATATCTTAAAATAATTTTTCCCTCTTTCATAGTGCAATAATGCTCCACAAAAACTCCCTAGGTGAGGAAAAAATTATCATACATGACTTTCTTCTTTTCATATTGACATACCTGTCACTTTTTACCCAATAATACTAAAGAGTTCCAACACGGGGAGATAACAATTTAACTCAAGCAAATTGGTAAAAAGGGGCTAAAATAAGCAAAAGAAAGTAATATGAAGTATCCAAATCAGTTATTCCTATTCTAAAAAATATATTAGATTCAGAATCTTCTCTTTTTCATTTAAACATCATAGAAATAATCCAGAAATATGGTAATAGACTGTTATTTAAAATATGTGATATTGTACAGCAAAGTATAGTATTTCAAAAATAATTTACAACATGTAGATATTATTTCCCAAGCTCGATATTTTAATACAAAGTAGACCTTAGATCATTCTTAAAGTAACAGTTAATTTAATTTCAACCTTGGTCTTGATGAGAGAAATGAGCATCTAAAAATGGCTAAAAAATCATACTCATTGATATAGGATCTATAAATAGATGTGTAAAAAATAAAATATTCATTTGAATTAAGTTTTTTCTCATTAATTTTGTAAAATGGACCATGACTTTGAAAATAAAACAAAATTTGAAAATTAACTGCTGAAAAAAAGGTAACTTTTTGACTTGATCAATTTGTATAGATTTTCTATTAAATTTTGTGTGATTTTCGACAAATATGCAAATGAGCTGTTACTAAAAATAGATGCAGGGTTCGCCATTTTTGTGGGTAATCTGACTTCTACCGCAATGTAGAAAATTTTAAGGTACTAAAAACTCCCAAGTTGCAACCTTCCATTTGGACGATTTTTTGAATTTTGCATGGTTTTCTAGCGGACTGGCTCTTAAAATCATATCCTCCATTTCTGGTAGAGCTTTACCTGGACAAGGGTGAGTATTACAGGATCGTGAAGCCCTTTGTCCATAGCTTGATCCTTCACAAGGTTTGCCATCACCATAAGGAGAGGGGTTTGTACAGGTGCGCCTTTCTTGCCCTGACTGTATACCACCTCCACATGTTACTGTACACGACTGCCAGACGTAGGAAAATTGTGTCCAGCCTCCATCAACTAAATGAATTTTAATCAGGTTTTATTTATATGTTAACCATCCTCCTTGTATTGCCATTACATTAATTAAATGTTTACAAAATAACTAGGTACTCTGAAACGTGCATCTCTCTTTAGAAAGTGAAATAATCAATTGTGCACTTGCCTATAACTAGCTACAAAACTGTAACTCTCCGAAAAGAATATTTTTACAGACCGGGGAGCTACAGTTACACCCACTGAAAAAAGTGTACATTTATTGCGCTCAAAAAGTGCAATGTTTACATTTATTGCGCTCAAAAAGTGCAATGTTTATTAATTTAATTTCTCCTAAATTTATTAATTAGTTTTTTTTTTATTTTGTTATTGGGTAACCGGGTATTCGACCGAAAAATGCGGATAGCCGCTTACACTAAAAACTTATGTTAAAACGGGAACTATCAACATATGAAAAGTTGAACATCATAACTTTTTTAATGATATAAAGTAGAGATCCATGGCGTTAATACATACTGTAAAATAGCATATTTTCGTGGGGTCAATTTTTTAAGGTTTGAGGAAAAAATATTGGTTTGTGGGGATTTCATTTCGTGAATTTTAAACTTTTTTTTTTAGCAATAATGCTTATAAAATTTTACATTTCGTGGTGATTTTATATTCGTGGGTCTCTCTTTACCTCTTTAACAACGAAATTAAACCCCCACGAAAATTTGTAATTTTACAGTAGTCTATATATTTTTTTTAAATGTTGTGTACATAAAAATGTATTTTTAAGTGAATTTAAAAAAAAATTACTTGGGTTGACACTTAACTGCCTATTGCAGATAGAATTTAAGAAAAGGCACTGTTAATTGCCAACCATGTAAAATACTCAGTAGCTGAAAGTATCATGTGTTTAATTAGTCCGAATAATCTTAATGTTTTTCAGGGGTTTTTTTAACGATTTTGTGTTAGTATAAATGTAAGAGCTAAGGGAATTGAACTTATATAGTTAAATTACGTTGCTTTTCTTGCTTCTATGTTATGTTTTTGGATTTGTAATTTTTTATACCCCCGCTTGAAAAGCGGGAGGTTATGTAGTAATCGTTAATTCCGTCCGTCTGTACATCCGTCCTTCCGTCCGTCCGTCTGTTACGCTTTGCAATTGGGGTACCCATCTCTTATCCGCAACTCCTCTCATACCACTGAATGAAATTTGAGGAACTTTTCACAGAATCTTTATTACATATTGCCATTGTGCACCTCTTATTTTACCTTTTTGATCCGACACATATTTTGGGTTTTCCGACCACAGCAAAACATGGACTTTGCCATTAAAACTACTAGTATATGGGGGGGGGTAACATTTAGTGAGCTCATCGCTCACAGTACCTCTAGTTTCAAAAATGAATTCAGATGGTTGAGAGTGATAACTTTGGGGGCCTCCCTACAAGTTTATGGTTATCAGAAACATATGCCATTTTGATAATGCACCCAAAAATATAATCATAAAACTAGAGGTACTGTGAGCGATGATCTCACTAAATGATACCCCCCGCCTCCCATATGGTTATAACTGGTGAAAAAGTCCATGTTTTCCTGTGGCCGGGAAACCCAAAATATGTGTCGGATCAAAAAGTAAAATAGGAAATGCACAATGGCAATATGTAATAAAGATTCTGTAAAAGTTGCATCAAATTTCATTCAGTGGTATGAAAGGAGTTGCGGATAAGAGATGGGTACCCCAAAGCGTAACAGACGGACGGACGGACAGACGGAAGGACGGACGTACGGACGGACAGACGTACAGACGGAGGGAATTAACGATTACTATATACCCTCCCGCTTTTCAAGCGGGGGGTATATTTAGGCTCCTCAATGACTTTATATCCATTGGGATTACGCAAGCTAAAAAATCCATACCAGATGCATTGATCATGATGCTGCTATTAAGATATGCAATCAAATATATGTTGGAGCAAAGTACATAAAAAAAATCCCCTCCTTACATTCAAAAGTTTAAAAAACTAGAGGTACTGTGAGCAATGAGCTCACTAAATGATACCCCCCGCCTCCCATATGGTTATAACTGGTGAAAAAGTCCATGTTTTCCTGTGGCCGGGAAACCCAAAATATGTGTCTGATCAAAAAGTAAAATAGGAGGTGCACAATGGCAATATGTAATAAAGATTCTGTGAAAATTTCATTAAATTTCATTCAGTGGTATGAGAGGAGTTGCGGATAAGAGATGGGTACCCCAAAGCGTAACAGACGGACGGACGGACGGACGGAATTAACGATTACTATATACCCTCCCGCTTTTATAAAAGGAGTTTTATTGTATAAAAAGTAGGGGGTCACATTTCTATAGGGGTCATTTTTCAACATGTGTGGTTTTCAATGTGTAATGTGTGTGGAGTCGTAGAATTACTGGTCTGGAGAGGTTTTCTACGTCAAATATTTCGGACTAGTGTTCAATGTGTTGTACATCGAATCTTATGGTCTTAGGACAAGAAGGTGAAAACCAAATTACATGTACGTGTATTTCGTATTTACATGCTTACCTTTCCACGAGGACTGCATACCTTTAAACTGTATTTCTCTATTATTGAAGCATGTAGCATCTGCAATAAAATGAACACAAAATGGGTAAAATAATACTTTCATATATATATTATGCAGTTATTATACTTATACGTAAAACGTACCTGAAAACACAGACATGCATTTTTGCACTAAATTGTATTTCAGTTGAAAATGCCCCCTTTTTACATATCGAGCAAAAAGATCTTGATTTTATTCTGCCCCACACATTTGAAATCTTCAAAATAACGCACATAAAGAAAACGCAATACACTGAAAACCATCCTTAAACTTAACCACATCTACTGTTTACACTCAAAAAATAATGTTAATGAAGGTCGTGCAGTGGAAAATGTTCTCTTTATATATTTGGCATTCCTCTTTATAAAAGTCAAGGTCTCGTTTATCACATTTCTCTTTTTATATATCGAGGTTTTGTTTGTATATTTCGCATAGGTTTCAAGACAGTTGATGCTGAAATTCAGTGCAGTGAATTACAGTACTGTATTAAGTGCCGACAGTCTACAGAGAATATTAAATAGTCAAGAAGACAGTTTCAACACGGATGCGTATATGGCAACTAATGAACATAAGGAATTAAGTTCTGATGAAGATTATGATAACAGAGATATTGACTCTGATTTCAATGCAAGCGATTTTGAAGATTCAGAATTGGACGAGGAATCAGATGAAGAGGAGACATGTAACTACAGATTAGATGAAACAGATAATCCATCAGAGGAGGAATTTTATGTTGTGTCAGAAAGTGCACTTTTTCAACTTTTGTCTGTCTGTGATATTTGTAATGGAAAAAGTGTCCCACTTGTAGAATACAGCAAAGGCTCCATGATATCTACAGTGTCAACATGTGAAAATGGTCATATCAACAGATGGCAGTCACAATCAACACATAAGAAAATGCCATAGTTTAATTTACATCTTGCAAGTGCAATGCTTTTAAGTGGGAACAGCATACTAGTATCTAAAGTCCTTATGCTTTTTAACCATTTAAAAGTTCTAGCACCAAGATCCCGCACTATTTCCCGTCTTCAGTCCTGTTACAGTATTCCTGCAGTCATTAGAAGAGATTCACAACAAGCAGACTATTTTGATGAATTGCGCCGTAAGTAATAAATACGTAAATTTATGTGTAACAAATATGATTATATCTTTATTTTATTTCATATATGTCTACAACTAGTTGTGTAACACTATAGTTACTTTTTCACCAGAAAAATCTCATGTCGTTCTTGGAGGTGATGGGAGATGCGATTCACCTGGTTACAGTGCAAAATACTGCAGTTACTCACTGATGGACCTTGAGACTAATAAAATCATTGATGTACAGTTGGTCCAGGTAGAATATGATATAGAAATTGAAACATCATTTATAATGAATATTTTCTATTAGATAATTTAATTGCCTTTGTCTATTTGCAGAGTAACGAGGTGAGAGGATCTACCCATATGGAGCTAGAAGGCCTTAAAAGTGGACTAAACAACTAACCGAATTAAATCGTGTCCCGGTGCATGATCTCGCGACAGATCGCCATGTAATGATCAAGTCATACATGAAGACTAAAAAACCAGACATCAATAAATATTTCGATGTTTGGCACGTAGCAAAGGGTAATTTTAATTTTTGTTATTTTATCAATGATATTTTTTTAAATAACTGTAAATATAGTAAGTTGCTTAATGTCAAATATTTCATGAATATCAAGAAAACTTGAGACATCAGCAAAAAAGCGTGGGGCTGGTCAAATCCGTCCTTGGATAAAAAGTATAGTTAACCACACATACTGGGTTGCAGCGGCAAGTGGAAACAATGGGCAAATGAAGGTTGACAAATGGTAATCTATTAGCAACCATCTTATCAATGTCCTTGAACATGATTCTGAGATCTTTCCACGATGTGAACATGGCCAGCTAGATGAACCTAGAGACTGGATGCAGCAAGGTCATTATCCAATTATTAAACTATTTTGTTTTATTTTATAACTGTACACATTCCAAAAATGTTAGCAGTTTTTTTTCATTCTAGGCTCTAGATGCCACAAGATGGTAAAAGATGTTGCAGAGAGTCCCTATCTGCTTCGAATCTTCCAAAACTGTCACCTACAAACCAGACATATGAACTTGAAGGTTTTCACTCTGTGGTGAATCATTTCGCACCAAAGAGTACGCACTTATTTTACATGCCAATGCTTGCAAGGTTTGTAGCATTTCTTTTTTAATACATTCATAGTTCTAAAGATTAAAGTTTAACCTTTAAAGTTTAAGATTAAACTTTTCTAAAATGAAAATTTCATAGAGTGTATTCGAACAAATTCATCACATCCAATTATACATTTAACTAGGAACCAAAGCTTCCGGATAAACAATGCTCCACTGTACTTGGAAATGAATCCTACTTCAAAAAAATTAACCTGTTCACTTATCTTGAAAATGTAGGTCAGATTCAGCATCCGAAGCAAACACGGTAGTATGCATCCTAAGATGCACCATCCATGCAATTTTGGTCATTATAGGGCTCAAAGTATCTTGGAAATGAAACCTGCACCAAAAACGGTAACCTGTTCACTCAACCGGAAACTGTAGGTCAGATTCAGTATCCATAGCAAGTCTGGTAGTATGCATCCTTAGATGTATATCCATGCAAGCTTGGTCATTATAGGGCTCATAGTTACTGGAAAATGAAACCTGCACCAAAAGCATTAACCTGTTTATTCAACCAGAAATTGTAGGTCAGATTCAGCATCCGAAACAAGTCTGGTAGTATGCATCCTTAGATGTATCATCAATGCACGTTTCGTCATTATAGGGCTCATAGTATCTTGGGAATGAAACCTGCACCAAAAACTTTAACCTGTTCACTCAACCAGAAAATGTAGGTCAGATTCAGCATCCAAAGCAAACCTGGTAGTATGCATCCTTAGATGTATCATCTATGCAAGTTTGGTCAACATAGGACTTATAGTTACTTGGAAATGGGACTACACCAAAAACAGCACCAAAAATGTTAACCTGCTCCAAAACATTAAGCTGGTCATTCCTTTGCTGAAATTACTGCATCTGAAATTTGACTGGTACAATGAAACACACTAGAAGCATCTTCCATGCATGTCTAATCCTTATAAGGACATAGAAGTAGTTTAAAAAAAGAAAACTGCTCCAAACAAATCAACCTTAACCTTGCCGACGCCGAGGGAATTACATAAGCTCCCCTAACTTCGTTGAGCTGAGCTTAAATTGCATTCTGTTTTTTTATACAGTATTTGTAAATAAACATATTTAATTTGATGATCCTTAACTTTTTTGTCCAGTATATAAATATAAAGCGAGGTTCTGTTTATATATTTTGCATTTCTTCTACATGTATAATTATATTAAGGTTTGATTTTAAATATTTCGCATTCCCTTTACATATTAAGGTTTTCTTTTATATATTGCTTATAAATGACAAGTTGGCACCAATGGGATCGAGACTCCTTGGCTAGTATAAAAGATATTATAATAGAAATCAGGGATGGGGTAATTGAAAAAAGTAATTGTAATTGACTGTAATTAATTACATTTTTAAAAGTAATTGTAAGTAATTTGTAATTGAAATTTTTTTTCAATTATTTGTAATTGTAGTTTAATTAATTACACTGATAAAATAGCATGTAATTTCAAATACTTTATACAGTACAGTTCAAAGATATATTATCACCACTTCCTCCACATTTTAATGTATTTTATTTAATTGTTAAACTTATCCTCAGTCCTTCCATTACTGAAGTTAATTTTTACAAGCAAATAAATAATTGGTTTGATAATTATAATCTAGTTTCTTGTGAATCATTATGTATTTTTTTAAATATAGATTTATCTAAATTTTGTATCACCGTCCTTAGGTCTATTCGTTATGAAACACACAATTATTATGTTTCAATGTTTCCTGTTTGAACAAAAATAAAAAGGGATGTGTGTGTCAACGCATAATTAAGTTCTCACTTTCTGGGAAAAAATAATAGCCCTCCAGGTCATAGGTATAAATTGCAATCAAAACAAAATTCCTCTGAGTAGGTATTCATTTCATGAACTATAAGACAAAGCCAATGGATACAATTATTTCAATTTAAAATGCTCTGCTAACTGTAGAAAAGAAAAACTTTTAATTTCATTATTATTTTAACATCTAAAAAGAATTTTTTGAGTAAATTTTGTAACTGTAAAGGTTATGTTCTGTACAAATATTAGTTATGAATTAAAAATGTTCAACATAAATAGCAATTTAGGATGTTCAGGTACATAAATGTTTCATTTTAGCCTTGCAATTGGTTTTTCATGGAAAAAACCGCATCAAACTGATCGCGGTGTATTTGTTAAATCATGTTGTTTTGTAAAAATAATTTATAAATTAAACCACAATGATACAGAATGCCCATATCATTTTTCTTGTATTCTTTGTGCAGAGTCCAAGCTTATATACAAATGAATGTAGTTCTGTATATTTATTGACAAGAATTTAAACATTTTCAACAAAAAAATTTTAAAATGTAATTTGTTATTTAATTAATTACTTTTGCAAAGTAATTGTAATTTAATTAATTAAATGTCTTAGAAAGTAATTTAATTGTAATTTAATTGAAGATAAAGTCAAAGTAATTGTAATTTAATTAATTACTTTTTAATGTATTTGCCCCATCCCTGATAGAAATGTCTGAAATGGGTTTATTAGGTTATATTTACGGAAGGTCCATACTTTTACATATCCGATTTTCATTTTACACATACTGTGAACCAAGTTTTATTCGAGTGCGAGAAATTTTCGCGAGGTTCGCAAGAGCCTCGTGATCGCGAATATTTCTCGCCGCGAACCGGTGTTTAAAGCCTCTTTGTTACCATTAACAACAGATCCAAAAACCTTTGATCACAAAAATAAATCGTCGCGAACTAGTTTACCCTAGGTAAATCACGAAATAAAGTCTTCGCGAATAAAAGTTGGTTTACGAGTATATAATTTTGATTATCACCTATCTATTGATATAAAATATTTTTGTATGACTGAAAATAATTTTGCAAGTATGTACCGGTATTTGTTTATAATTATATACTTAAAGAAAAAGAAACGCATAATAAACTTTTGAATAAAA